AAATGTGTTAGACCAAGGGCCAGTTTTTTCCTATCAGGTTGTAATTTACAAATCCTCATCCTTTTTTATCTAATCCTGTCTTCTAAACATACACAGACAACTTCTGTGGTCTTTACACAAAAACACATTCTCACATTGATTATTGGCTCAAGCCAGCCAGGTGTTTACAGTGGGTGCAAGCGTCCTTTTCTCTCGATTACAATAGGAGGGGGGAAAAAGACAATGGCAAAGAACAAAAGTGGATGTGGAGACAGAGAACAAAGACACGTGGTACCCAAGCCACATTCCTTTGTGCTTTCCTGGGCGGCCAACAGCATTCCTCTACCTGCCCGTCAGGCCAGGTGCATACTGTACTGAACGTCCTCTCTTATACACACATGCACACCTGTTTTAATACAATGTCAGGACATAATAGGAATGTGTTCCATGTGTCATTGCTATCCAAAAAATAAACATGTATCTCCAAAAACTCTACAGGAGAAGGCAATAATGTGTTTAACTTTTTTCTATGTTAATGTAAAGATATTAATGTAATGTAGATATATTTCATGATTTAATGTAATGTAAAGAGATTTCATTCCAAGTAATTTTGGAACTTTTCATTGGTCCAGACAGCTGCTGTGTTCAAATAAGGCAGAAGCACAAAATAACCTTTTATTATAGATAAACCTGTTTTTGTGACCATGACAATATGTAAGTGGCTATATGTAACAATAACTTAAATGTCTTACATATATGTAAGTACATTTATGTAATAATAATGTGTCCCATATGTACTATAAATATGTAAGTGCCTATATATAATAATAACACATATATCCCATTCATATTACATACGTTTGCCCAGTCATTTTTTCAGTAGATCGTTTAAAAGCATTTTACAAAGTCAGGACCGGTTTATCTATATTGTATATTTGACCTCTATATTGTAGGTTTGACCTGTTTTTTCTTGTAAGTTCCCAAAAGTCAAGACATTTTTGTTCTTAAAATGTATGAAAACAAACTCTCTCTCTTCTCTCACACACACACACACACACACACTCTCTCACACTGCAGTGAGGGAGATTCACTCATGGGGATGAGGAGAGGGAGGGAGAGGGAGGAAGAAAGGAGTGGGTGGAACATCCGGGCCTTTAGACTGGCTCATCACTGACAAAGCACAGCAAATCCACAGAAGCCTCCACACAGTATGGCTCAGTACCTGCTTCAGCTCCACACACACAAACATGTGAGCAGCACTTGGAGGGGATAAGTGACTGTGGAGTAGGGAGGAGGCGAACTGGGGGGGACTGGGGAGATGTGAGAAAGGGGAGGGCGGAGGGAGCTCATTTCAATGCTCCTCTCATGCAGAGGCAGTTGTATCTGCAGGGTTTGCCGAATGTAAAAAAGCCACAGCCGGCCCAGAACAAAAGCACCATTCAGCATGCGGAGCTGCTTCCCCTCCACACTACTCCAGTATCGTGCATGCACACACTCAGACACAGCCACGCACACATACATAGGCATACACACACACTCACACTAACACATAGTCTACTTGTACATGCTATTTGACAGGCACGGGACTATATGCTTGAAAAGCTTGAATCAGCCCCATTATTCCCAGCAGCGCGCTGGACTGTTCCTTCCCTTCACGCTTCGGCTGCCTCCCACTTCTCCCACAACCCCCACCCTCGCTCATGTCTGCATGAGGAGCACACACAAACCTCCTCGCTCCCTCCCTCTCTCCCCTTTCCCTATGGCCACCTTTCAGCACTTGACTTCCAGCCATTCCCCCTTTTTCAAAATCGACACAGAAGTGAAGGAGAGACCCTCTTTGACACCCCTCCAGCAGGCTCAGAAGTGGTACATTCCAAGGCTTGCAGAAGTTGAGAGCGCACATTGTTCATAATCTAGCTTTAGAGGGGTGACTTCATGAGTTGTAGGCTATATCCATTACCAGGGAGTTGCTTGGTCCCTCTTTTTTGCACCCGATAGGCTACATTACACCAGCCCTGAGGATCAGAGCAGGCCTGTGCCATCCTGTTTAGCGCAAGATGCTCCAACATCTGAAAACAATCAAATAATCTGGGCACAATGCTGCTCTTTAAGAAAGAACTGCTGGCTACTTCCAGAAGAATCTCGGGAGATTAGGGGGGTTTGCACAGCTGAGCTTGTGGAAGGGGAATAACATATTGTCTCTGGATCTTTAGAGTGTGCGTGGGTTGTTATTTTTTTTTTTTTCAAATGGAAAACAAATTCAAACAGGAAGTCTAAAAAATATTGTGAAATCACCCAAAGACTGTATATTTAAGGAATCACGTGTATTTTCCTTCCAGTGTAGTTGAGGTCAATTTCATTTCCTCTGCACTTTTAATATCCTCTTAGAGTTCAGCGCACAAGCTCCCCACCCTTTCCATTTTCTCCATGAATTATTCAAATGGGAGTTACCAACTTTTAATCCCCAAATCAAATAAATGTTGTATTAACCCAAACACAGTTCACATCTGCAAACGATAAGTGCGTTAAAGCACGCTCTCATGATCACTAATCCCTTTCATTCACTGGAATTATGGGTGACTCCACATGGACACACCCATACTATGCATCAGTGATTCCCTCCACAGTGACAACATACTCCCTTCAAATAGCCTTACGATTGCAGACATGAGGGTCAGATAAGAGCACACAGTCACATATATCTGTATGTCTAAAGCGCTTGATATGATGCAGAGTTTTTAGCCACTATCAAAATGCTAAGAAATATCCTATTAAGAGCCCCATCATAGACATATGCATCTACATAACTCTACATACATACCAAAGGCCACACCCCCTCTTTCCAGACTTCAACACCTTTCTAGCCAACCTGCAATTAGCATACCTGACAGGCAGCATTCTTCACAAACCAGACCCACACTAACAGCAAGTATGCACTATTGTGATCAGGTGAATGAGCTATAAATGCTACACCTCTGATGAATGGGACTAGCCTGTGGGCTCACTCTTCTCCATACTTGACAAGAATAGCTGATTGGCCTTCTTCCTGTTGTTAAATAAGACCTGTAATGTCCAAAGGGAAATAAATGTATACCCAAGACTGTGAATGGCCTACATTTCTTACTTAAAGATTTAGACTGGGTGGAACTTTTGGAAGTGGAAAGTATATGTGCGACACTGGAAAAATTCTGAGCTTAACTCACCAAGGGCACATATTGTCAGAGCTGTGTGCTCAATGTTCTGAGGAATGGTGGAAGAATGGCCAGTGAAAAAGAACAACTTGTACAGATAATTTGTGTAGGAAAATGTCATTAGAAAAACTGAGCAGGATGACAAGATGTTTTTTTACGTACCACAGTGGAAGAGATGAACAATATAAGGCGTTTGTCGGACAAGTACACTGCCGTAATAATAACTATCAAAAGCAGCACCACCTTTAACACTGATGGGCTTTGTCTTAGAGACATTGTTAAGAAGTTTTATTTAATAGCTTCATTACATGAAGTCCACCTAACATGAATAAACAACACTTGATCTTTCACTTTACTTTATTGTCATTCTACTCAAATACAGAACACAACACAATTAAGAATTCGAGTCAATACTATACAGAGGTGTCTTCATTCAATGCATTTTTAATACAGCAAAAACAAGGAGTGACTGAAAATATAATATGCAATTTTATTATAATTTTTATATTATAATTATAATTTTTCAATTTTCAGTTTATTAGAGCATCGAAAGTACAAAATTTTAAAGCTGTCCTCTATAGTGTCCCAAATTAACATGTAGCCACAAGCTAATATGTTAGCCCCCAAGTTAACATACTAGCAACAAGTTAACATGCTAGTCTCATACAACAAAACAATATGATTTTATGCAATACATTCCAGTACAAGAAGTACACTGTATTGTTACATCCCTAAGGCTAACTGGACAAAATACACTTTCTCCTTTGCCATGGTGTGACAAATAAACTATCACTGCAGAGCTATAAAATATTAATCAACAAAAGCCACTGGTAAAATGCTGATGCCAAAATGCGCTGCATTTCCGTGTTCTGCAAGCAGACATATATTTTGCTGGATGCACCGAAATGGAAATTCTGGGCCAATGCCAACATCTTATATTTTTCCTGAACATATCTGCTGATGCTGATAGTCATGCAGATACATAAACATTTATAAAATGTAGAAACTGGGACTAGGGCCAACTGGATGAACATTACAGAGAAAAAACATGTCTCTGAACAGGATCACAGATGCTATTCACTAAAATGAATAAAATGCAGATATTTTAGCGCAGCTGCAAAGCTTTGCCTAAACACTGCCTAAAATATCAGTTTGAAATATTGGTCAAATCTGGAGAATGCTGATATATTTAAGCAAATATCAGTGTGTTGTGAATGGATGTGTATAGAACCTTTTTGAAAATGGTACTACATAGCACCAAAAAGAGTTCTGCCATTGTTATGATGTCAAGCTTGTAACAATAGGAGAACCTTTTTTGGCGCTATATAGAACCATTTTCAAAAAGTTTCTATGTACAGCCATATACAACACATTTTCCATCAATCTGAAGAACGATTTCACCATGCAAAGAATACTTTGAGCATGCAAATGGATCTTTGAGTGCTCATGGTTCTATATAGAACTATTGTCTTCACTAAAGAACCCTTAAAGAACCATATTTTTAACAGTGTACAATATAAGATTCAAGCTAGTGTGTTCAGAGGTGGAAAAGTACATAGAAACGCTATTTTAATGGGTATGGTGTCAAAATCTTACTCATTTACAATTGGACCTGTGGAACCAAAAATATACTTGAGTGAAAGTAAAAAGTATCAACATTTAAACATACTTAAGTACATAGAACTAAAAATTAATGTTCTAACAAATAAGTTGAACGTTTTTTTTGGTGGAGTGTGATGTAGGTGCGGTGACTAATCAGCGGTACTAGTCCGCACACCATAACACGGCTGATTGGCAAGAGAAAAAGAGAAAAATCTCTTGGCCTTTGAGATTTGTAATGAGCACTCTGAAGGTCATAAAATAAAGAAAATGTAAAGAAAAAAAAGTTCTTTAATTGAGTAAAAGTATAATTATTTAAATTCAATAGCACTCAAGTAAAGTACTTAATTATAGAAATAAAGTACCATTACGCAAGAATTTTCCACACTGCTAGTCTTAAAGAACAAAGAGTCTCCTAACAGCAACACCTCTGCTGGACGTCTGAGAGACTTCTGTGAGCTAAACATCCTGTTGACCTTCTGTTTGGTATATTTTGCTTGTGATCAACACAGGAAATGCATGAACATCCATATTTGTGGGATGAGAAAGCAGACTGACTTCCTGAACTCTGAATACTCAAAAGGATAGAGGCATGCTGTTTAGAAATTTCAAAGATGCTCATTGTCTTTCTGTTAAGGGGAAACAAGAGCTACTTTATATGAGATTTGTATCTCATGATGGGAAATTGAATTCTGAAAAAAGGATTCTCTTTATTATAAAGTAGTAACTGTTTATACATTTAGGTTGTAACCTATAGTTGTATGTAAACATTTGAACACCCCTGGTCAAAGGACATGTTTTGTTGATTTTCTAAGTGAAAATAAGCGAACACATTCTTTACAAGTAGCAACTCATCAAACACTTAACATATTAAAAAAATATAACATAAAATATATAACGTTTAAACTTTCGCATAGGCTACATTTTATGTTTTTTTAATATGCTAAACTCAGCAAAAACAGTAATTGCGCATTAAAATGCACAGAGGTTTGTTCTCTGCAGAGGATGTGTTCACTTATTCTCACTTAGGAAATCAACAAAACATGTAATTTGACCAGTGGTGCCCACACTTTTGCATACATCTTTACATTAGTTAGGCTATAAGTTTAGAGTCAGTTTTACAGGCCGAGATTAAGTCTAGTCCAGGACTACACAGCATTCTTACTGGAGATCCTACTTTAAATGAAAATTGTAACCCAGCATTAGGCCTAATCTCTGTCTGGGAAACCCTTAAAACACTAAAAGACACAGAATTATATTTTTCTCTATAGTGTGGACAGCAAAACGGCTGTGTTCAATGATTTTAGTATGTCTGTAAATATGAGTTAGTTTTGTCTAACATACACAAATTAAGACTTGTAGCCTTAATCGTACCCTACCTAAGCCAGAGGGACACAGAGAAACTTCTCATATAACATACTGTCACTATGACAACCAAGCAGAATCATTTAGCTTGATCTCTTACATTCCTCACAGAACCAACATCCAAAAAACTTACACAATTTGCTTTTGCCTGTCTTGCATTGTATAGGCTAGATGTCACAGTTGCAAAGAGTCACAGTATCAATGGCCCACATGACTGTATGAACTTCAGCATTCAAACCTGTTATCTATCACTCTGAAGCATTTAGCTAGAGAACTGCTAAACGAGGACATTTACGCCCAACCAGAGAAGCAATAATAACATAAACATATTTTTATTTCACAATGAACGTTATATTTCATTGGTGTGATCTAATTAAATAAAAGGTGTGCACAACACTTACAAAGAGAAACACTATTCAACATGTAGCAGGGACAGACCCTGGCCTTGCATGGCCCCTGAGCGTAAGAGTCTTTGGAGGCCCCCACATTTCAACAGTAAAATAAGGGGAAAAAAAGAAATTACAACAGTATTTTACATCCATATGCAGTTTTAGCAACAATGATTTTTTTATTATTTTTTCTAAAAATAGCCTTATTCATGTGTGATATCTTCATAACAGCATTTTGTGCAAGATTTGAAGAGGTTTGTGTAAGAATCACGACTTCGTCTATTTTTCTTTCAAGCCAAACTAAGTCATGGAAGGGTGAAAGCAACTGTCTAAATAATCCCATTTTTGTGGCAACACCAAAAGCATTTGGACCACCTCCATCCTTGTGGTCTAAGACAGTCAGAGGCTCCTGCACTGACCCCACTGGCCTGGTCAGTAATCCATCCCTGAAATGTAACATCTTTTAGTAGAACGAGCAGATGCAGATTTATTGATCCACTGTCAATCAATGCAACTTTACATATAGGTATATTTAGATTCCATTAGAGGGGGCTTAAACTACTCAAACATTCTATTAGTCCACAGGAAGAAATACACAGCTAATAACATGACATAATATGTAAGTGTGGGCTATTTCAGGCTAGATTTGTTACATACTTACCTATCAATACCAACATGCCATCTGTGGTTCAAATGGATTGCTTCATTTCTTGGGAAAACTGCATTCACATTTCTCTTATTAATCCGGCATTGTGGTTCCACTTCCGTTTCGTAAAACAAAGCACATAAATTAAGGCTGACTGAGTTAAATGGTTCCCTGTTCCCTATACAGTGCACATATGCCACGAAAAATGGCTTCTACACCTAAATAGTGTAATATATATCTAATACGAAGCCATTCGGGATCCAGCCCAACACTTAGATATTAACACGAAATTATTGTCTCTTGCTACACGCTACTCCTCTCACGCTGGTTTATCGTTTATGAAAGGTTTAGATAATGGTGAAATGGTAACCACTGGATCACTGGAAACAAAAAGCATAAGTAAGTGGTGGCATATTACCCTGGCTGCCTGCTCGATGGAAGGCAGCGGGTCCATCACCGTATAGCTTCTTCCCTCTCTCGCTTTCAGCTCTGCGTGCATGGACAAACTTCTTTTGGGAACTGGTGGGAACTATATGAAACAACTTTGAGGAAAATCTTTACTTATCGTACTTGAAACTAACAAGTATGACGGCAGAGGTGTCTAAGAAACGTGTTTAGGTATGTTTAGCAATAAATAATGTCAGTCAATTAAAAAATATAAGTTTACTGTTCCGTTAATGATGTTTTATTCGGGCTTCGTCGCGGAAGGATTTCAGCGGAGAAGTCAGGCCAAACGCTTCCGCCCAGTTTTCCGATGTGTGTGTGTGCATTGCCTGTGTTGAAAATGGAGTTCGTGTAGCACAGATCCTCTGAACTTCCCGAGGAGGAGACTCTGTTAATCTATTCTTTTACATCTATTCTTTGCATACTCAGTTAAAAAAAAAAAACATATCGTTTTTTGTCCGTTCTTTTGACTCCGTCCACGATACAAATTTCTATATACAGGAGGAAGGAGCGGTGTTTTGCTATTTTCAAGTGTTGGCTGAAACTTCAAGTTGCCGAGGGGAGTAGCTCGTTTCGCTAGCTAGCCGGGTCACAAACTGAGCCAGATCCTGTGTTTTTTCGTCCATTCTAAAGATTGAGACTACTGGAATTTGTTTGTCTTCGCAGAAGAGGATGATGAGGAGGATAGTCGCTCTTTTCCGAATGGATTTCACTCATTGGGAAGACAGAGATCAGTGGCTGCGGTCGCCCTTCTTATTCTGAACTCGCCTTGTGGGAGACTGGAAGAAGCATGCACCTCCGCAACCTTACACAGTTGGTTTGTGAATAAAAACTGTCCTTTTTTGATGCGAACGAAAAGAAAATGGTGATTTTTGCGGTTCGTTTCCCCGCCTTGACTGCGTCGTCGATGCTGTTTCCAGGATTTGGATCCCCGTGAGAAAAAAATGAGCGAAGAATCGGCAAATCCAAACAACGAGTGAGTAACTCTGCACAGTTCCTTTAGCTGTTTTAGCTGCTGTTGGACCTTAGAGATCTGAGTCCGAGACCCTAATGAATGTCAGGGTTCACCATCTACGGTTTTATGTGGACTTTGTTGTATTAGTTGCAGGATATTTGCAAGACGAGACCACGTTTCTTCTGAGACAGTGTGGTTAGTTAGGTGAGGTGATGTATTAATGATGGTTACTGGTTAGGTATAAACTTCAGTAGTGTATTTTTTTGCCCAGCAATTTTTTTTAGCATTCTGACATGTAATAGATTTGAAATGGAAACTGCTTCATTTTAAGTATTATAGAACCATTCAGTATACATTATACATTAAAGGTGAGCTACATTTGTATGGTCTTATTACTCCTCTGTTTTCTTTCCAGTGTCGTTTAGGCTCTGTTCAGGCGAATTTAGGCATAAACACAATGAGTGAGTTCCCTCTGAGTGTTCGTGGGCAATAAGAGAAGATTTACTACATTAGCAGTGCAAGTTAGCTGGTACTAGTGAGAATGTAATGGACCGTGTGGTGCATTTTCAGCGAAGCATTGCGTTGGAAAGCTTGTGGGAAAAAAAAACAACAAAAAATGGTTATAGAAGTGTCCTTCTGCTCCAGCTACATGGACCAAGAAGCCCACCTTTTTGTGCTATTCGTACGAAATGTAACGCGATTTCATCATGTAAAACCTTCAGCCATGATCGCTTTAACGAGTGCCAAGAGGTTTATTTCGATAAATATAAATATTTTTATTAAGTCTGTTCTGCGATACGAGGCATTTCGTTCCGTTTGCGGGTTTATTACCGCAATGTCAGGCTCAGAGAAGCTGCGGACGCCATATTTTTTCTCAATCACTCTCATTTGCATATCACAATCCTCATTCATAAAAATGCCAAAATGTCCGTTGTTAACCCACGAATTAGCCCTAATTTGAAGTATAAAGCCTCATGTTTGCTGTATAATATAAAGAAAGCTGCTTATATGTACAATTTGGCGCTATTTTCTTGCTCTGTGTCCGTGTTTTTTTTAAATGGGCTGATCGCTTGCGTGCGCTTGTTGACAGTCACTGAGAAAAGCTTCGGCCACGTGACCGCCTCCATTCATAAAGTACCTGGCTGCTCATTCACACTGAGCTGCACTGTACAATGTGTCTCCAAACCGAGCTCAGGGGTCACACAAAATCCTTCGATCTAGCATTCTTCTCCAGCTGCAGATAGTAATATTTAACGTCTCTCAAATGTATAGAGCTTTTTTGTGTTTCTACCCAGCTTTAAATGGCTGCACTACACGACGACGTTCACTCTACAGATGTTTTTGTGACTCACGCCAGTAAAACGCCCATGTTCTCTCTCCATTTTTCTCATGTATTAGATCCATTGATATAATGTAGGAACTCTGTGCCCTTGAACTGGTCATGTGCCTCTATAAATATCATGCAAATTCCATTTGTCCTTTTCACACTGAAAAGTATAGGCTGATTGGTGACAATGGAACAAATATGTTGTTATTTGACTGATTTTAGAAGACATTTTAGTTCATTCATGGTTGAGGCAGTGCTGCTTAGCAGTCTTTTTGCGCAATGCTTAGGATCAGCAAATGCTGCTGGTGTGGTGAAGGAGGGGGGGGAGACAGACAGCCCAAGAAGCAAGATGACACCATCGTTTAGCAAATTTTCTCCTCTTTCACAAACAAAAACGTCACTTTTTTCTGTTTGGGTGATATTTGAGTCACTGAGAAGTGGAAGATTATAGATGTGCGTGTTTCCTATTTGTAACAACATGTTATCTTACCTGTGACGCAGTGTTGTTTCGCATTCTCCCAAAATGTATACATGCAGTATCATTTACAAAAGCCTACAGTTCTACCTTTTTGCTTTCATTCTAATAGTACAAGCCATGCATAGATTTGTTTGGTAACCACTGGTAATTGTTGCACTGATAAAGTCCATCCTGTGAGATTTTTTTTTTTATTGTGTATTTTTAAATGCAACAAACTGAAATCACATGATTGTATCTGCACAAAAAGATCCATTCTTTACTCTGCTCATGGAGGCAGTATTGATTTTAATATGATTTTGACATAGCATTGTTTATCACAGCTTTTGGTGAACTGTTTTGAAGCCAAAATCAGCGATCAAGGTGTACAGGTGCTGACCTGCATATGCCAGATTATAAAGCATTTAAAATGGATTATGTGGGATTACATGAATTTATTATTATTTTTAAACCTAAAGCTCACATTGTGTGGACTAAATGATCAATGAAACACGCCAGTACTTTTTTAGTACTTTCTGTTGGCCGAAAAACACGCACGCACATACATACATGCATGCATGCATACATACATTTATATTGAAAGAATTTTTGACCATTTAAATCACCTGAATCAAATAGAGTGCTGCATTGAACATGAAAGGGAACTGGATATTTAGGGCACTGACTTACACATAATACTTACATAATGACATATTCATATATACCTATTATTTGGCAACCTCCCTTTGATTATTTAATTTTATTTGTATTTATTCAGTTGATTGTTTAACAATTGAGGCTTATTGAAGCAATTGGCTGTTAAAAACTAATGCTGGTGTATAATGCTAGAACCAGCATAATGGTACAAATCCATGATGAACTATAGAAGATTTAATCATAGCAATAATTCCATACCATGACATCAAAATAGTTCAATAATAAAGTTAAATAGTAAAGTTATAATAAAGTTAAATAACATGTTTAAAATATTTGACTATTCCAATATTTGGTCTATTTTTTTGTAATAAAAAACTGTATTACTTCTGTGCATCTAGAACATCTGTATCATCTTGTAATGTAAGGTGGCTAATCTGCAACCATTAGATCTATTTAAAGCTTTGCCTCTAGTACATCAGAAAAATGCCTGTTTTCTGTTTAGTTTTGCTTTCTGTATGTATGATGTTTGACACGCGGAGAACAATGACCTCTAATAAGCACTGCTGGCTCCGCAGACCAAAATAAAGACTAGGCTAATCTGAAAGTAGTGAACCAAGAGCCACAAAATAACAGGAAATACATGGGTCATGTATATGTGGTAGAACTTACTGCTCATATCAAAAAACATATCATTATCACCTGCTAGCCACAGATAGAGGCCCATTGGTTTAATACATTGGTATAGCACTGTTAACTCCAAAAAAATTAAGATGTCATGTCTGGAACAACCAAAATTATTACAAACGAGTATTGCCAGTGAATAATGGAAACTTTACAGTTCTCATAGATGATCTCGCTCTTCATTAGTGTCAGCTCTAGATAACGGTTTTAGGCACAACAGTTTATTCAGGAAAGTAGTAGTGATGCAGTGTGAACAAAACCTGTTAGTCAACCACAAGCACTAATAAAATTTGCAAAAGAGAGGCAAAATCAAGTCCCCACCCTTTACAAATACCAATTAGAATCTGTGTTTATAAAAGCTTGCTTATAGAAGCTTAATGAAGATCATAATTGCAACTGTTATTATTGCAAGCATATAGATGTTTATGACCACTCACTAGTGCTGAGGGGTATATTCTCTGTGTCAGTGCACTGTAGTAACGATATACTATGATATCGCTTTGTTTGAGTTTTTGCAATATTTTTAGTGATGTATTTGTTAATTAAATTAAATAGTAGCTTGCCTTTCTGGAAATGTGCTTTTCTTATTTATTTGTTTATCCTTTGTAGCTGTAAGAGAAGCAGGACGGTACAATACAGTCTGGTCAAAAAAAAAAACATCAGGTGTGTATTCTTTTAACATCGAGTAGCAGAGGAAGCAGGGGTCATTTATTTTATTAACACTAACCTAAGTATCCTCTGATAGTGATATATTCAGAACATATTGTGAGGATTATGTCGCACAGCACTACCACTCACTCTTTTTTTCAGTGTTTTTTTTTATTATTATTATTTTGTTTTTTAGTTTTCATATTTTTAATGTCTCAATATATAAGTGTTTATAAAACTTGCAGATATCTTTTAGTAAGGGTTTTGCAAATGTACCTGCCTATAGTCAGTCTGATGCATATTGCATGCTAAGCAGTTGTTGGCATAGTCCCCATTTCTAGCCTTGCAGTCTTGAGGCCCCATGGTGCATGTTCCTGTCAGGGTCTGCAAGGGCCCCCATTTCTGTTTCTGTGTTCTGTTCTGTGATGTATACATTCAGCTCCTTTGTCGCTAATCTACATGTCCGTGTCTACAGTGTACCAATTCTATTCTTTTAAACTCATGCATCCTCAAACACCTGCACACCTATTTTCTACATTTTCTCCCTTACAGTGCTGTTCTGAAGGTAGACTTTAGCAGTGAGACAGGGCCATTAACTTCGCTCCAACCTCATGTTCAGTTTCCATTGTCATTCATAGGGATACATATGGAATTCCAGATTACACCAGCTGAGTGCTTTAGTTTTTTATCATTGTGCTGAGAAACACACTTTTGTTAATGAAACTAGCTGTCCAGTTTGGCAGATGGTACCCTGCACACCAGAAGAACAGTGAGCATGTCAGACTGAGGTATAGATTGCAGGAAATTTGTGAAGTTTATAGAATTCCATCCTTGAAATATATTTAAATATACTAAAAATGCTAAGATTGTAAAAAGATTTTTAAATATGCCAGGGAGATATGGGAAAAGTAGTTATACTTAAGGCATAGCAAGGTAGGCCTGTGGCGATCATAAAAATTTAGATGACGATTAATTGCCATATAAATAATTCCGATTACCAATTTAGTTATGTTTCTTACTTCATTACAGTATAAACCTACATCTCTACATCTCTTAAATCTCTTACAGCATATACCTAAAGTTACCAAATTGGCTGATCTTGCTTTCTAGCTATTTCTAACTGATGACAGAAAAAGCTCATGCTTAAACAAATACTGCTGCCCTTTAAACGTGCAGTAGCACCAAGTCAGTAAGATCCATGACGTGTCTCAATAAATGCATTTCCTGTTGTTGTTGTTGTTTACATGCATTTTC